TGTAAATACGATGTTTGTCTAGACTATTTTGTTTTTAATTTGGGAAGTATTTAAAAAATTTTAAGATAAATTATTCCACAGATCAATGGTAATGATATTCCATTAAATCCGTAAAAGCGATTTGAAAAACAACCCTGATAAACAAAGAATGTTTTAAAATATGAAATGGTCGCAATTAAATATTAGAAATTATTATTGCGCAGTTAGGCAGCCAGTTATTCAAGTATAAAAATTCTTGCCATTATTTTTATGATAGCGGACATTTTTTTTTAACGCTGCCCTGATCCATTAAGATCTTATATAAAGGCCATTAAATCGAGAAATATATTAGGTAATAAGTTGAGTGATCCAATCGTATAAACCGCTTTACGCCTTAGAAAGTTGAGTAATATTACAGCTGGAAGGGCTTATGAACTTTATAAGATCCAAGTTCCCCCCTCTTGGCAAATATAATTGTTTACTAATATTAACGAAAAACGCGAGGGCGCGGCTACTTCCGTGTCGCCTTCCTCGCTATCAGTGAAAAAAAAAATAAAAAAAAAAAAAATAACAGAGAAAAACACTGGCAAAAAAGGGGGCGTGTGCTGGCCGGCAAGGCAAGTGAATACTACGCAGTTGCCGGTACAGTATGGGGCATAGTAAGTGGGGCCACACCGACTGAGAGTTGCATGCAAATAATAGAAATAAATACGCCAAATAGCTCGGCATGGTCTGCTGCGAGCAAGGTTAATGCTTATTTATAAACGAATATTATATTATGTGCTCTCGGCAATCTTTGAGTGCTGATCTCGTTCTTATTTCTGCTCGTTCTTATTCTCGATTCGCATTTGCCATTTGCTTTTAAAAATTTTTTTTTTTTTTTTTTTTGCTGAATTTGATTATTTCCAGTATTTGCACGTTTCATTTCAACGCCCCTGCCAAATCAAATACCCCAAAAATAATCATCAAAATATCAACTTATATTGCTCTGATTTGATGGGGCTTTGTTATTGTTTTGATTTTACATTCAGAGTGCACTTTACACTAAATAAAATGCGACGCGAAAAAACACAAACAGGCCAACTATGCGTATACTTAATGTGCGACTAAACAAGCGTGAAAAGTGAAGGAAATAATGTGAGTGAAAATATATATAAGAAAATATAGGGAAGAGAAGTTGGGGGTGAGGATGCAAGCAAGTGCACTGTCAAGTGTCAAATTGATTACGCAACTTGTTACTATATATATATCAGTATATATATATATATATATATATGAAAGCCTCTATATCCCCTAGTTTATTGCATATTTATACTGTTTCAATCTATTTGAAGAGCTTGCACTGGTCAGTTGAGTGAGTAATGCGCATTTCATCGACCGACTTTGGATTCTTCTAGTTCTAGATTCGAGTATAAACTTCTGGCGAATTGTTGGCAAGGCCATTGTCTTGATAAGAGTCATTGATAAATCCAAAGTTAACAAAGGTTAACCTGAGTGCTGAACAAACTAAGTTTACACTGTATATAAGCCCTGCACATTGTTCAGATATTACACAATATTCGTGTGATATCTTTCAGATTGCAAGTAATCGTGTTAAATGGAAAACTTTCCACATTAGAAGGTCATTTTCCAGCTAGCCTTACACTAAACCAATCTAAATTTATAATAAAATGTGTAATAAATTTTATTCTCTGATCTTTTTACCACATAATCTCTTTCTCTATCATTTTATTCTACGGAAAAATTCCTCACGCCTTCCCCAATAAAATCAGGAAATGTATTTGCCCCATCGTAAATAGTACGAAGCCACCTAAGAAGGCATCATAAATTACACACGAAATTTCCAAACATAATTGCCAAAGCGCGACGAGTTCAGGGCGAATGAAAACCACCAAAATGTTAAGCCAAAATATCTATATATATATATTTATAACACGCTGCGGTTCGCTGCCAATTAAAAAACGAGGCAAAAATATAAAATAAAAAAGAATAAAAATAGCATTTCTCGAACACGAAAATAAATTGATAAAAGGAGCAACAGAAAGAAATACTTGGCAGCGGTTCAATGGCCAAAACGCCACGGCGAGGATGAGTTCTCGATGATGAAGACACGAGCCACCACGAGCCGCCACAAGCTGCCAAGAGCCACCGAGAGCTACCAACCACCGGAGGAAGCCTTTGCAATGCACCCGTCGAGTGGCAAATTTAAAATTCCACAAATGTCATTTGAGTGTTTCGCTCGTTTCGTTCTTTATTATTATGACGACTATTCGAAGAGGAAGCAAAAAAAAAAAAAGGAAAGAAATATCTGAGGACTGGGAAAAAGGAAGCAAGTGTCAGGTAGAACGCGGCAACGTGTTGCATAAATTAGCTAAAATCCCATAAAATTGTATAAAAGGAATTTGCAGGGAAACAGGGAAACTCTTGCTTTCAGCAAGGGGAACTGGGAAAAAAATCTAAAAATAAGTTAAATCCACATTTGTGTGGGAGCTTATTAAGGCAAAAATGGAAAAGAAATTTGAAAGTGTGATAAGCAGTTTCCGTTTTAGCCATTAAAAAAGTTGTTATTAATTGCAGAAATCAGTAAAAATCACATAAGAATGTGGCTTAATATATATTATGGTTTTAAAATAAGAATAAAAATTTTAATAAATTAGTTTCTTTCTTATTTTAGAAACTTGGCTCAAAAGAAGTCAGGAAAAAACATTTTTAAGAGAGGTAAAATTATGAAAAATTCTTTGAAAATTAAAGACTTTTTTAGCCCTATAAAACTGCCACTGATGTTTACAGGTATTTAACCCCTTTAATCACCCCTTTAAAAACCGCACTGATTGCAGTTTTGTTTACGTTTATTTCTTGTTAATTTTTTCTTGTGTAAATTCCTAGAAGTACACCCTAGGCTCAAATAACATTTTCTACGACGCGGGAATAAATTTCTTTATCACGGTGATTGTTATTTTCACTCGTAATCACAAAAAAAAAACCCAAAAGCAATGGCAAAACTCAAAGCGTCAAGCCGACTACTTCCGTGAAACTAGAAAAAAAATCAGAAAAAAACCAACCATCAACAACAATTATAAACAACACCATTAATATAAATAAATGCCAATATATTAGTTCACAGCCCTAAAATAAAAAAAAAAAAATAAATAAACTGAAAACAAAAACAAACTGAAAATTCGCTGGAAGCGCGCTGTCTGCGAAAAAAATAAAGTTTCGGGTATCAAGTTGAGAATCGTCTTCGATTTCTTCGTAGCCAGCGCAGCGAATTCTTCAACTGCCATTGGACTTTTATCAAAGGCGAGGTGCTAAAAAGTCCTAAAAAAAAAATGGCTTTGCATTGAAGTAATATCAGCGAAAAATGATAAAGAAAATAATCACGTGAATGACGCACTGCATTAGCTGAGAAATATGAGTGGATCGAATGATTTATGGGGCATATCACGTATACGCAGACGATCACGAGCGGAAGGAGTTCTAGGAAGTGGATATGACTTACTTCTAGACTGTCTAGCCCAAAAGAGTCTCTCCAAATAAATTCCCCATTTGTTTATGTTGATTGTTAGCCAAAACGAAAGCAAGAAAAACACTCACAGCCGAGGTAAGTGTCAATGAACTTTCGGTGATTATTGATAACTTGCAAAAAATGATCGTATAGTATAAAAAAAAAAAACACAAATAATCGAATATTGGCTATGTAAGCGAAAAGTTGTTATCAGTAGAAAAAAGAGAGAGAAAAACAAGGAGGGGGAAATTGAACCCTAAAAACATAAATAAAGTCTACAAAAATAAAGTTAGTACTCGCTAGATTCCCCCAACTTAAGATCACTTCTATCAAAGTACAAATAGACTTCCTGTTAGCCCACTAAAAATGCAAAGGCCCCTTAAAAAAGTAGTAGTAAAGTGGTTTTCAAGTAGAAAAACAAACAAATGAAAAAGTGGAAAAACAAGAGGAAAAACAAGAGGAAAAAAGGGGTAACCGGTATCTGAATATGAATGAAAATCGAGCTTGATTTACGCATGTGATTGTTGCAAACGTTTATTTATTTACGTATGCTGCGATGTAAACAAAAACGGAAAACGATCCGAAGATAAAAGAGCATTAATTGCAAAAAAAAAGAAAAAACACATTATGGAAATCCAACAGAGACAGGGGGGGAAATGTGATGCCAAAACATTTAACACCAAAAACAAAAAGCAATGCAAATTGCAAACAACAACAGAAAAAAAAAGCTTGACGATTGCATAATAATAGCGAAAAACGAGCACAAAATATGAAAGCCAAACACCAGCTCCACTTTATCTTCACTCTCATTCCCATTTTAGCCGACGACTTTGACTTGGCCATGAACTTGACCGTTTGCTTGGCGAAATGTGAATGAAATTGTTAGCTGAAAGCAAAACAGTATTGTTGCAAAAAAAGAGGCAAAGTTGAAAGCTCTCAAAAAGAAAGAAATACAAACATAAACAAAGGGCAAAAAACATTGTGGAGTTTGGGGAAAAGAAGATTTAGCTAAAGTTGGTAAAGTGAAAGTGCATAACAGCCTGTCTGCTTTGGGTTAGATTTGGGTTTTTTATAAATTTTTGTAAAAGAATTTAAAGAATTTTTAGTTTAGACTTTAAAAGAAATTATAAGTTAATATGACTATTAAATATACATTTGTTCAAAGGGTAAAAATTACCGTAAGTCTTAGTAAAAATCATTTAAAAGAAGAAACATAGTTTCTTATAATGAAAAAATTTTGAATTTTGTATGTTTTTTAAGAAATTATCTCAGTTTGGATGAGTTTAATTAAAAAGGTTGAACCTGAGAGGTATATATTTTAAGATCAGATCCCAATCTATGTTTGGAACCTTCTAAAAGAGATTTTTAATTTTCAGGAAATTATTATTATAAAAATCCCAGAAAATTCCATTACTTTGGATCCTTACTAAGAACATTGTTCATTATAAAAATCCCAGAAAATACCATTACATTTTTAAATATTATATTAATAAAGAAAAGTTTAACAAAAACTCACCTTCCATCCAGCACTACTATTCGAATCGCCCTTGTCCTTGAAGTATGGCACATTCTGGACCATCCACTCGTAAATCTGGCTCAGAGTCAGTCGTTTGTCGGTGGCCGATCCAATGGCATGCGTGATGAGATCCGCATAGGATAGATTTCCCCATGCATTGCGACGCGATGAGTTCTTCTTGGCTGCATTCGCATTTTGTATAGCCTGCTGTGAGTCTGTGTTTTGGGTTAATGAGAAAATTCAAATTTTAAATGAATATTTTTTAATTGTGGGAAAAAATATAGAAAGTTAAAAGAGAAAAAATACATTTTCAGCACAGGTTAAACGTAGTTAATATAGTGCAAGACATTAAATTGGGCAACTACTTTTCATGAACAAAATATCAAAATTGTAATTATTTAATCACAAATCTGAAGGAAATTTGGTTTCTAAGCAAACCTACAAACTAGTTGCCAAAAATTAAAGTTAGTTCATTTAATCTAACGGAATATTCCTTAAAACTCTTTAATATATATTTATATATATAATTCCTACAGCTATCAAAAACGAACCTCCTGGGGCCAACTGCTGATTGCTGGCCTTTGTACTGTCCAACTCGTCGGCGGGCTCCACGAAGTTCTCGGGGCGCGGACATGGCCATGTGTTGGATCTGGCTCTGGTCTGTGGCTCGAAGCCTACATCCAACGGAGGCAGGTCACCACCCAACTGGTCCATGGGCAGCCCATTGTCTGTGTGGGTCAGCGTGGGCCAGTCCTGCGCGAAGCCGTCCATCATGGGGTAGAGTAGGTCGTTGTGCAGTTGCAGCTTTGCGGTTCTTCAAGCACTCCTCGCCAGCCCAAAAATAATCGAAGCGAATTTCGAAAGATTCGCAATCAATTGTTATCTGAAAAAAAAGATAATTTCAGATATTAAAACAATATATTTTGAATAAAATTCAAAGATAAGTAAAGCACTTTTTGAAAACAGAACTTTCTCTGAGGCTTACAGAACTCTTAAAATATAGTTAATATATTAATATTGTTTTTGTAATTTATTTTTAAAAAGGAATGTACGTGTCGAACATATATCATTCACAGTTCTATGGAAAATTCAAAATAAAAAGATAGATATTAAATGCATGGATGCCAAACATTAACCTTCAATCGAAATTACTAAAGCTTTTTCCTGTAATTGTGTCAAGTCATCTCATCTCTCTGTCAAGCATTTCGTTCAGAAATTACTTTTTGATTGTTTTCGTGTTTTGGAATGTCGAAAACGATTTCCAAGTGATCTTGGATCGTTCAACTAATTGACAATTCGATTTTGGAAATGACGATTACACTAATCACATTTTCAGAGAGAGGAAACTAGTATGGTCCTAAGGTCTTACTATTACTTTCTTTCAATTAATAAATAAATTAGTTTTGATGCTCAATCAAGGTAAAGAATGTTAGCTATTAAATTTAAAAGTTAAACAAATTATTCAGTTATTCTGAGCTTAACTAATAACTAGATTGTGATAGATTTATGGGACACGTTTTTATAATTCCCAAGTGCTGATACGAAAACCCCGCACTACAATGGAATATCAAGCGACACCGTTTATAAATTTATAATTTCTGGAATTTTTCGTTGTTTATTTTTCAATGGAAATCGAATAAATAGGTATTCTTATAGAAGAAGCTCTCTTAGCTAAAACTAAGAGAGCCTTATCAGCAGAGGCAAGTGAAAAGAAGAGAGAACACCAAGACAGAGGCAATGGCGATACGATAATGTAGCTTATGATCTTGTTCAAAGGCCTCGCACATTTCCTTTGCATTCCAATGCTCTACATATTTGATTTTTTATTTGCTTTGAAATGGAAATCAATTAGTTTTAATAAAATCTATAAATGCCTTTATGACTAAATTTAGCACACACAACAGATGGAATGAGCAGTGTTGTAGACGCTATCAAAATGATTTCAATTAGCGCAACGGCAACGACAGTTATCAATTCCTTAATAATTCTTGATTAGTTTTTTCTTTTGGGTAATCAAATAGTCACAAATCCGGTTTAAATTGCTCTCTTTCTTGCTGTTTTTGAATACTCATTTGTGAGTTAATCTTTTCCAATATATAGGTCTATTGACTCTGTCTGGAATGAGAGGACTGATAAGTCATTGAGGCTTAACGAGCATCGCACGATCTTTGATAGCAAATGTCTGGTGCAATTTTAACCGAACGAAAAGGTATTAAAAGTATAAGAAAACTTTATCAATTAGCTGTAGAAACAGAAATTAGTTGAGTAAAACATATCAGGATGGATCCTTAGAGTTAGGTACTAATTGCAGTGGGAAAGTCAAATGTCTTCTTTTTCAGCTATCTACATATTTCCTAGACCTTTTGTCACCTGATAATGGCAAAAGTCTGATGAAATTTTAAACTTAAAACAAAGAGACATTCAAAAATTAAATAAAAACCTTATCTATTGGCTGTATACATACATTCAAATATTTTTCACAAATTAGTCAATAGAACAGTTTACTAACTTTACTAACTAACAGAAATTCTCTGTTTATGTTTAGGATGACAAACTAAAAGGATTCCAATTAAACTAATAATAAGAATACTTTCCAAAAATTTGAGAATGTACAACGGAAAAACAAATGACGACAAATATTTTAAAAAAAATTAACATTTAGTAAGAATTTTATATAGAAAATATTTTTTTTTTTTTGATAATTTTTTTAGATTTTTCTTTCAGCGAAATATTAAATATCCAATCACTTTTTTAACTCAAAAAACTAGTCACAAATTCGTTTTGAAAATTTCGAAATGTTTGCCAATTTAGTAAAGTGTCCACATAAGAGCGCCAAAAAGCTCATTTTCTCACTCTCTTTAATTTGAAATTGTAAACAAATTGAAAAGTGTGCGTAGCGCGTAACTGAATTAAAATTCAACTCACTCACACAACCAAACGATAACAAGTATATCTGTGTGTGTGTGTGTGTGTGTGCTCGGATCATTCGAGGCAATTTTATTCAGCTTTTTATAACATCTTTTTTTGTTGTTGTTGCTGTTTTTGTTTATTCATCAAAGAGAAAGAAAGAGAAAGATGGGAAGAGTGCGAAAAAGCGGAGAAGGAAGAGAACCCAACAAAGTCGACAGTGAAGAATTACCTTGAGAACACGGAAGTTCATTAAACATTGTGCGCCTACCTGAGGAGAGCATTCCGAACATCACCTCATTATTAAGTTCTCGGAAAAAAAAAGAAAGAAAAAGAAAAACTACTAATATTTCTGAGTGTGTGTTTGTTTTATGTATTTAAATAACAAAATTATTTAGATAAGGTCGCGCGTCGTCGTTTGTCATTGCATAATATCTTCCTAGCGAAAGGTTTATGGCCGCAAATAATGGCAATGCGAATGCGAAATGAGTCGCACTTAAATGCCCCCAAAAACAACAAAAACACTAAAATAAAAAATAACAAAAAACCCAACAAAAAATAAAACAGAACAAAAAACAACTAACCGAAACATTCCAACCTGACCTAAGCCACTAGCAACAACAAAAATCAAAGCAAAAATAATGAGGCTGTCAAAAAAGAAAACCAGAAATATAACACTCAAATAGTAGAAAAAGAAAACTAGTGAAGTAACTTTAAATCTAGAAGAGTTCGACTGGGATATACCCTATAGCTTTAAACTGGAATTTTGGGGATAAACAATCCACCAGAGAGTTCATTGCTTCCCTTTTTGGGGTCAAAATATCATCGCTTTCTCTGCGATTCTTGTCGTTCTCTCAACTTCAACGGGTTTTATTTTTAGTTTTTTCAATACTTATGGTTTTCTGTCACATAATTTGCATAAACAAAAACAAGAACAAAACAAATTCGTTTTCAGGTAATAGTTCTTTTGGCCATACTTTCAGTATTAACCTTTAATATTTATGATTATAGACAAAATGTTTAAAAAAGTTTAAATAAGATCAGCCAAGAGGACTTATAAATCTACAACAATTCAAAGCTTAAATATAGCTAATAACTTCATAGAAAATAAACAACTAATAGGTATACCTTTAGTCCACACCCCGTTCCACCTAAATATAGTGTAAAATTCTAATTGCCGCCTCTCATTTGCCGGCTGCCAACTATTTTGAGTAAACGAGCATTTTCTATTTGCATTTTGCACTTAAATATGTTTCTTACTTTCCAAACCAGAGAAATTGCGTCGCAGAGTCGTCGGTAGTGAAACATTGAATAATATGCAATAATATTTGATAATAATATAAGCACGTCATCTTATGAAAATAACTAAGGGGGAAAAACAAAACGTAAATACAAAAGACAGCATAGAAAATCTAAACAATAACAAGACAATCCCTCTCAGCAATATATTGTATTAGGAATGGGATTAAGTCTATCTATAACCAAATGCCGTAGTATTCCTTTTGATCTGCTGCGTCACAGCTTACTATATAAGACGCTGGATCTTAAAGACAGGTTCTCAACAAACATCTATTTTTTTATTACATCAGATTAATGTTAACAATTTGTGACGCATATTTGTATAGGTGTTTTTCTTTTTTGATCCGTTTGATATTGAAACTTGTTAGATTATGTTAATGCTAGACCAATGTTAATATCTGATAATATTCTAATGAAAATCCCAAACAACGCAAAAGTCTTATTATCAAAGCGAAATTTATAGAGTGATTCAGTTTGATGGTGTTTGTTTGGCTGGCTTTTTCATGAAGAAACTGGGCATTCTAGCATAAATCAGCTCTTAAAGAACCCGGCGTGGGCTGTGGAAATTAGCTAAGGAAAATCATCTATATATTTTCAAATATTACACAATGGTTGCTTTGGAAAATTTAGGGGAAGCAAGTATCCCCATCACATTCCACATAATTCAATGTCACGAACAAAAATTTCCGCACAGAGTGAAATCTTCAGGTGGTCTAATTTCTGGTCTCTTTTTCTAAGGGGGCGTGACAATAAGACGCGCAACAAGTTGAGAGAATTCTAAAACTAGATATATTTCTACAAACGTGGGGGTTCTCAAAAATATAAATATATATATATATATATAGACTGAAAAGTCAAACGAAAGCGAGTGCAAAAACAGATCTTAAATAATAATAAAAAAGGAGACAAAAAGCAAAACAAAAGCAAAGCAAACTAAATAAAGACGGCAATAAAAAGATATAATAAAAAATTAAAACAGAATCAGTTAAAAAGCAAGAAAGAAGAATGAAAAGAAAACGAAAAAGAAATAAAGAAAGATCAACAGAGCGGACAAAACAAAAATAAACCAACACTTGTTACGTAATGCCTTTCAATAGTTCGCTCTTATTTTTTTTTTTTTTTTTACTTTTCTCATCTGTTCCGTTTGATTCTAAATGCGTATTCGTATTATTTTCCACTTCTAGAGAGTGTACACTGTACGGAGAGCATTCTTCCGGCTATCAGTGAAGCTCAGTGCCGCCCTTAATCTTAGCTGGGGCTAACACTAAGCAGCTGTTCCGGTTAGACTTGGCCTCGCCGATCAAGTGATAAGCCAAGAAGTCAGCTTTTCAGAGGGGTAGATTTTTCATTGTTAAGAGGGGAAAAAATTATTATTTCTCCAATATTATTACAGAGCTTTTATATATCTATCGTCATCTTTTCTCTTTAGTTTCCAATATTCCTTGTAAATTCTAAAAATATTATCATTTTTAACTATACAAACTTTATCGCCTCCCTGCAACCACATAGCTAGACCTTCTACCCTACGTTCCCTGGGAAATCTGTGCTTATCAGTGGGAGCAGACCCCTAGAGATCACAAAGCCGGGCCACAAAAGTGTCCGCCAGATGCTCTTCTGTCCGCTGTTAACCCTCCGCGACTCCAAAGCGAAAACCATGTGATTTTTTTATGCACGCCGATGCCCCTGAATCTCAGGTATAGGTAGAGGTCCCCGGATCACCCGGCTGACTGTATACCTGCCCCTCGCACATGACCGGGTTCAGCAATGTGGAAGTAAAAGAGATCTACTCCCCAGCAGCACAACTCGTCAAACAGGATTATAAACCAAAGTAAGTCAATGCGAGAAAAAGCCCGATACTCGGCAAAAAAAAAACTGAGAAAAAAGAAGAAAAAACCGAAAACAGAGAAAATAAAAAGCAAGACTGACAGCTGGTAGTCGGTGTGGAGATATTCGTACAGCAACTGGTACGGTCTGCACCGATCTGGTCCGGTCTGCCCTGCTGCCCTGCCTAATGAGCCAATGTCGGAGATGAAGACGACGATGACGACGACGGCGACGTCGTCGATATCAATCCCAAAGCCCAGGTTCGGTTCCAGGCCCATGATCTCAAGTACCTCGCAGCCGACCCCATAATGATCATAATGATGACGATGACGAGGCCAACACATACACAAACACACACACTTGTCGGTGTGCCAATCCGGTGTGACGGGGTCTCTGAGTGTGTGCTTTGTCACCCTCCATAAAACCGAACGACCTTTGGTTCGAAAGTGAATTATACTCGAGGAATATCAACCTCGTCATGGGCTAACCTGCTGATAAAGCACTTCAACGTGAGAGCTTCTTAAGGGACCTCTTTCCCTAGTTCAGTTTTAAAAGTGTGCTTCATATAGTACTCTTTACTGTACTTAAGGTTAAATTAAATGTTTAAAGGTGAATGTAGTTGGATCACTTAAGCATTTAATTGACTAAAAATTATAGCTTAGGCTTAAATATAGGTAAAAAAATGTTTTTTATCCTACGGTTAACTTATCTTTAAAAAAGTTTAACATCATTAAAAGCACTCTTTAAACTTATCAAATAGTGTTGTTATCTTAGTTTTTTAATATATTTTACATTATTAAAATGTCATTAACTTAATTACATCAGCTTATGCCAATATTATGTTAAATATTTAAGAACTTGGGTGTTAAAAGTTTAAATATCTGTCTTTTATTTGTCAAACTTTCCTGTACAAAAACTTCAGCAATGCCAATCAAACAGTGAACTCTCGATAATACACCATAATTCCCTTTCGACACTTTACGCTGACTCTCTTGCTGGCCTGAGTGCGTTCTTATCACCAAAACTGAAAGATAAAGGAGCGATAAAGAGCTGAGGCGAAAGCAATGCACATCACATTTATGCATTCCCCGCCAGAGGAGCAACTGTTGCCATGTGAAGTCCCTCTCTCTCTCACTCACTCCCCACTGTCTCTATCTCTCTGTGTATCTCTTTCTCGTCGTGCCGGGCAGCTTATCGCAACCCCCTTCTAGGTAATACCTCCCCCACCCGCACTCTAACCCCTTGACAATGCCAAGCATAAACCTTGGACAACAAATCTTTTTTGCGACACTTTCAATCTGCACTCTTCTTTACATTATTCGTAGTATTTGGCTTTATTGTTTGGTTTTCTTTGCCATTTTCGTAAGTAAATTTATGGGAAGTGGTTTATGCGGTGCTTTTTCATGTAATACACTATAACACGAATAATAAAAAGGAATTTTTGCAACGATCATAAAAGTCAAAAATATTTTTAGATTTTCGGAAAGATGTAGGAATAGTACACCAAGTTAGAGGTGGGAAAATTTAACAAAAATATTATATTATTTTCAAAAGCGCAATATAATGAACCATAAATGTAGGACACTTCAGAAAATAACATAATTTAAATATTATATATGTAAATAACATCCTCTGCCCTCTGTTTTTTTCAGAAATATTTAAACAAGATGTTATAATGATACAAATTAAGCTATTTCTAATTCTACAAAGAATAAAAATAAGGAATATAAAGAAATTCCTGTTTAACTAATCTAAAGGGCTTTTCAAATACCTAACCCAACCTAATTTACATGATATTTCTATTAGTTTTACATTAGGAAATCCACAAGGAGCCCGTCCGTCAGTCATTGCATTCTGGTTTTTTCTACGCTGTTAATATTTAATAATTTATTAAGTCAATTATCGCGGAAGCTTATTCAAATAAAAGCTTATTGAAAGTGCAGTTATCTGGCGGCACGTGGGCCTGGCGAGAGAATCACGCGCTACTAGAGCGTCTGAGAGCAATATATATATATATTTCTCTATATAGAGAAGGAGAGGCCCGACCGGGCACAATGTGCAATAGTTCAGAATGCACTGAATGCAAATGCAAATGCAAATGAACGCTGGAAGCCCCCTCTTTGCCATGTTTATAGAATTCATTACAATAATTAAAGAGCAAGCGATTCGATTCGATTCGATTAGATTCGATGGAGAAGTCACCTAAGAATGTACGGAGCAATCTTTGATTGACTTGACAGCTGAGGCAACTGACGCATGGAAAACTTGGATGCGATCATCTGACTTCAGTACTCGTAATTCTAATTAATTTGCATTACTAATGTTTTGGGGTCAATGGGAAATTGTAAGTAGTTTGTAGAAAAAATAATCTTTATAAATCTCTCCTTAAGTTTTTAGTTGAACCAAAAAAGCATATGAAAATTCTTTAACTACATGTTTAAATATTTATTTACTGCTGTACTAGACTCTGTTTAAAATCCCTTAACTTTGTTTAGTAATTAAAAAACTCTCTTACGTCTAAACAAACCCATTAAAACCAGATTAAAATATTTATGAACAAAGTCACTTCCTTATGAACAATTTCCATTTTATTATCACTAAAAACACTAAACTAAAATTTCCGTTACTACAGTCCATTTCAATACAAGCTACTCCCTTTATTAATTAGTGGTTTTTTTTTTTGGTTTCTCCGCTTTAATTACAACTTTTTCGACAAACTTTTGCACACTTTCTTGTTATCACCTGGCACGTTCCACCAATGTGGCTAGCAAACACTCAAGATATGATAAAAACCACAAACACATACACATACGCTTATATATACATATATATAGGCCTATGTGTATAATTTTTTTGGGCCATCAGCCGCTGTACCTTGGCACATTGTGCGGATAGATAAAAAGCCCTTATCTCCAAAATTAGGCAAAAAAAACGAACTGTTTTCGACAGCTAACCGAGTGGCGAATCAACCCATTTATGAAAATTAAACCTAATCACATTTCAATGTCAATTCTGATGTCAAAAAAAAAAGTTTTTTTTTTAAAAATATATAGTAGAGAAAACATACATATATATATGTATGTAGATCGGCCTTCGTGGGTACAAACCAATATGAAAATCGGGGGAGCAAACACAGCAAAGAAATGAGCTCTATATACAAAAACGACAGAACGACACACGCTTCAACTTCTGCTATCAGTGTGGCGCTGGGGTTCTATATTTAGAGCCATTATCAGTGGTGCTCTAATTAAGATCTCCCCCAGCCCACACACTCTCTAACAAAGTAACACACCGAAAACGAACTAATCAAAACCCATGCGAACCATGCGAAAGATCATCTATTGAAAGCACTACAGCGCGGAACGTGACCGAGCTTTATGGTTCTAATGTTTTGATCTTGAAAGTGAAACTATTGTAAATGATATAGAGGCACAGTATGGATGTTTCGGTTATCTATAATGATCTATGTATTTAAGTTTAAAAAAAGGTACATTTATAACAGAAAGTTACTTGTAATAGTACTTGTAAGAACTTTTTGTTAAAGTAAAAAGTATATAAATTTTGAAAGAGATAATTTTTTTATTATAATCAATAACTATATTAATAAAATAAAAAAAAGATAATCGAAATATACAAAAGGTTGACTAAGTGAATTTTTAAAAATTACTTTAAAATGTTTTTTTAAACGTTACTTTAAAATAAAAGATTTCGCTTTAACTTTTACACACAAAAGGTGCATATTTCATAGTTTCTATAAAGTCTCTAGCTCAAAATGAGCTAACTTGATTTACTTTCAAAATTCAGTTTTGTTGATTCAATGAAAAATGCCAAGAACTTTAATTTATTTTCTATCACCTTAAAACTTTGTATATAACATTTTTTAAGAATTAAACAGATAAATTAATTTACAGCTAATAAGTCACTAAAAAAAAGTCTTTTTAGGTATGGTTACTAACAGTCTATTAAGAAATCTCTTAATTTACCATTTTACTTTAGTGTTTCTGGACAAAAAATGGCTATTAGAAAAACATGTTTTTAAATGCAAAGTTGTTTTCAATAATCTTTGATTTTGAATAAATTCTTAAGTAAATGATTAATTTTTTAGTAGCTTGTTGCACTTTTTTAAAAATCTAAAACGTATTACCTGTTTCAAACTTATACCCCCTTGAAACCCAGGAAAAACTCTAACGACATTTGTTTTTAATTAATCTAGTAAATCTATTTATGATTGTTGTTAATATTTACCCGCCAAAAGTTTGCAATGGAAAATCGCTAGCTAAATGGTTGCTGCTTGTTGACTGCGATTTTCAATAAAAATAAATGTTGTTGACTTTGCCGGTGGATTTTGTTGATCGCCGTTTGTTGTTGTGTTTGTTACTGTTATTGTTGTTAACTGGCACTGTTTTACTTTATTTTCCTTGTTATTTTGCACTTTTTTTATGGGTTTGTTTGTTTTATGGTTAGTTTATATATATAATTGTGTTGTTGTTTTGAGCAAAACTTGTGCGGATTTCTTGATTTTTAGTGGTATATTTTTCTTATTTCTTTTTTTTTTCTAGATTTCTGCTGGCATAATTTTTTGCTCACACACACACACACACACTCGTAGAATTGGTTGTTGTTATTGTTGGGCGGCGGTTTTTGCTTAAGCTAAAGATGATTGTAAAAACGGTAAATTAGAATATATATAACAACAATAAAAATAAACAAATAAAAAGAGCGCGAACAGAGCACAAGTCGATTAAAGAGTGTACATATGCATTGGTATGTGTGTGCCGAATAAGCAGCAAAGAGAGAGTGAGTGAGAAGAGAGCGAAACCGCGCGATCACGTCACGTCATCAATTCATGCCAATTGGACGCACACACAACACTTAATTGGAATTCGTATGAGAATTCAATGAAAACCGAGCCGCGCAGTCGAAAAGTTGTTTAAAGTTCAAATGGGTAAAAAATTTTAATATAAACACGTTTCGGAGCTTACTCCAATTCGCTTGTTTTTTTTTTTTTCTTCTTTTGCTTCGTTAGTGTAGTGTGCGTAACGTATTTTAAATGGTATATATATATATACGTATAGGTGTGCATATGTATTTGTATGTACAACGTGACTGCGACGAAGATCATCCAAGCATCGCTATATAATATGATATTTTTTGGAGCTTTTCTCTTATTTTATATAGCGTATATATACGTTTGTACATACATAAAAAAAACGAACGCGTTCTTTCTACGTTTTAGTTTTAAGTTCCGCACAATTCACATGTTTCACTGTTTATATTTTGGTAGAAATTTTTTTGGGGATCTGTGATTTAGCATTAAGGTGTTTTTTATTTAACGTTTTTTGTAGATCTAACAAATCACCGGGATTTATTTTTCGTTATGTGTATTTCTTTTGAGCTGAAAAGGAAAACGATGAACGACCTCGTGGCTTTTAACCGCAAGCGAACACAGACTACTCGTTAACTGCTTTCTAGTTGGATCGAACTGACAAATGAAACTGATTCGCCTTCGTAAAAGTGTTCGTTTCGGCGGCGCAAAAAGGCGGTCTATCTCTGTGTGTGTGTGTGTGTGTGTGAGTTTGAGAGGGGGTGTTCATGCTTGTGTGTGCTGAGTGCCAAAGCAGCCCCAAAAGAGAGAGAGAGAGAGCGGGAGAGTAAGCTTGCTCTCGGCATCCACTTACGTTCCACACACTTCGCATTTATGTTTGTGGCGTGTCGCACACACTCTGGCACTCTTAGACAGTTGGGGACAAGAAATTAGTAGGGTATTCCAAATCACAAACTTATATTTAAGCTTTTTATTATCATCTTTTAGCAAAATTCAAATGAATTTGTATAGAAAAGATATTAAACTATCTAAATGTAATGCCATTCTTTTTAAAATTGTATTTAAATAAATTAGGGTTTTTTAAATTCATTTTCGTTTATCGTTTAACATGTTCAAAGTTCACAGCGTTATAATGATAAAAAATGGGTCACTAAATTTCAACAAAATATTAAAAAAAAAAAAATTATTCAAACTGCAGTGAAACATGAAAGATGACGTCTTTAACTGAATAATTTTTAAGGAATTTGTCTTTTATTTTTTAAGAAACGATTTCAGAAAGGAAATCAGTTTGGATTTTTTCATGCTTATGCTCTATTATTTTGACCGCTTCTGTACTCGCACAATATCAATAAATAAAAGCCATAGTTTACCTATTTTATACATTTGGAATTTAAATTGTTTCTTTTAATTTTCGGTGGCTTTTGCTCTGAACTCGAAATTCTAAGAGATTATGAGGAAGGGGAAGCGATGAGCGGGAAGAGATGGGTGGTTGATGGGTGGGGTGGGGTTTGCGGTCGGCATTGCTGATAAGGCAGCTGTTATCTCGCGATTGCCAGCTCTCTCGCTCTCTCTCTCTCTTCTACTCTCCCTCTCTCTCCCTTCTCCTCTCCTACGTTCATTGTCTCGTGATGTGATGGAAAATTTCCCGAAATTGCATTCTACTACTGATAATGCCAGCAATGCACATTTGTGCATATGAATATTGTTTAAAAAAAAGACAAACCGCGCATCTTTGGTATCTCTAGTATGAAAGCTTTTTGGGAGCATGTATTTTATTACCAAAATCCCCCACTGCCTCCCCCTCAAACCACAAAAATAAGCCCCTCCTGGTACCAGTTTTTTTTTTTTGCCTAGACCCGATATCTGTATATATGTATATATATATACATATATGTGCGTTCATGTCCAAGCGAGTGTGTATCGGTGTTTTTTTAATGTGCCTGCCACATAAATTCCGCAACATTACACAGCTAATGAAGTCTAGACGCTAAGGCCGCGGACCAACAGTTTATGGATCGTCCAAATCTTTAAGTCCGATCCGATCGTCTCAAAGGCGGATTAGAAACAATCCCAGGAGATGAACGGGAATAATTCTAGAAATTTTTGATGCATCTTGAAGGATCTAGGATGTGGAAGGCATAGTCATTTTAAGTTTATTGAGTTTTTTTTAATAGTTTTATTGGTTTAGTACAAATTATTGGGAAATGTTGGATGATAACTTTAATGGCTTTTATGTTTCAGTAAATGTTTTGATTAATATTCCTATTAATTCAGAAACCTTTTTTGTAAATATTATTGTAATAAGTTAACAATTTAATAGCGTGTTTTCTTAAGAAAATACATTATAATTAATTATTTCTAAAGAGTAAAAAATTAAGTTACAAAGAATTAAAAAAATATTAGGAAAATAGCATTGACAATTTTATGACAACAAGGTTCTAGCTTCTTAAAATTAAAAAACAATTATTAAGAAAATAATATATAATTCATAAGAGTTGATAGATTTAAGCTTAAAAATTTCCTAGTTAATTGCTAAACAATTTAAGCAAGATTTCACTATAAGAATCTCAACTAAAACTATCAACATAAAAACACTTTCCCTATCCCGCCCGTTATTCCCCTAGACAAACCTCTATTAAATAAACTTGAAAGTCCATTGCCCAAGTGCCTCCCAAGATATAACCATTAGTATGATATTTGTGTACATAAGGATATGGAAATGCGAGAATAACAAGAAGATAAGACCGGCTAAAGTTGTATTTTACAATGTTATGAAGTTGACTTTAGTTTTGATAAGTAACACGTTGGTATAGGTAAGTTTCATCTCGTACTAAGCTCTAAATCACACGCAAATCACTCCCACTAAGAGTAGTTCGTAAATTAGCTGCTAACTGGACAATCGTACTAACTGTAATGCTCAACGCTAATTTATTCAATTGAGCAATCAAATTTTAAAGTCCATTAGAACCACTCGATCAGTGTCTCAATAGACCGCCCACTTCCCATTAAATCCATCAACATTACACAAAGGTTTTTTTTTCCAACTACTTGACCAACAAACTGAAATAAAAATTGGAATGAAAAATTAAATGGTACATAAAGCATTTCATTTGCGTTGGCGCGTGGCGAATGGCTAACTGTCGTCGCCGTCTCGGTCTCCAAACTGTAATCACCTCCAAATTCGACAAACTGGACATACAGGTCACTAACTCAGGCTTAAACTGCGCGCCAAACAGTTGGGCGCCACAAAATTAAAAGTGAAAGAAGTTCTTACAGTAACACCCTCTCGAATGCTGCGTGGCTGAACAAAAACTAAGCAGAAAATCAGAACTAATTATCGTTTTTAAAAAACCATTTGGTTGGCGCCTTTCAGATCTTTTACAGATGTTTCATATAAGTATATATCCCTCAATTTACTTAATGGTTAGTATTTCTGGATTTTATTTAGAAGTTTAGGATATATTTATTAGCAAACTTTAAGTTCTATATAAAAGACTTCACATCTTAAAGTTATTATACTTATAATAAAATCCATTTAGCTATGAAGTATGAAAAGAAGTTTTCTAAATCACGTACTCGCCATGTTGTACAACTTAATACTATAATAAAATCTAACATTTAAAGTATATTACTCACAGAATTTTTATAAATTAAACCACAACCAAAGAGCACTTAGTAAGCGTGTGAAAAATTCATAAATACCACCCCCGTTCTAGGGCATTAACATTAGATGATGGAGCTCAGACCGATCCAAAAGTAAAGCCAAGCGATCCAAATTGAGTCGAAACGATACGAATGGCTCTACTCACGCCTGGCCTTCAGAAAATTATAATTTCTGTTTTAATGTCTCGACTGTGCTGGCATATAGATGATGGATCGAAGGGGCCGCAGTGGGGATGGCATATTATAGCTTAGGCTTTTAATTCAGAGACTCGCCCGATGTTTATTTACCAGTCTAAGGCAGTCTGTGTGTGTGTTTATTTCATATGGAAATTTGAATATTGTTAGTAACAATTTGTTAACTTAACAATTTATAGAGAGCACTGCAAGTGGCGAGATGGAGCGAGGGAGTTGAACACACGATTGTTTTCCTAACTTATTGGCAGCGATAATACAAATTGAGAACCCTAATTGATATGGAAATGGTTTATGCGATAGGGAAAACTAGAACTTGTTTAGAAACTTTTAGGCTTTTTTTAATGGAAATATGTGTCACTACCTCTCTCTATCACCATATCGTATTAACTACTATTAAAGCATTTCGAAATGGTGACTTAATACTGGAAACTTCTCAATAATCGCTTGATCAACTGTGGCCGAAACGGTATTTGCCGTTGAAACAAGATTTTTTGTGACGTTGGTATTGCCGTCGAAGTCGCATGTTGATGTTGATGGGCGCTATCAAGACTTTAAAAGACTCTCCACCAACACATAGTAACCCACACGCTGAAAGGCGGAATTATGCTTATATGAGCATGTGTTTGTCAAAAAGCGAGCCCCCCTAATGTGGCCACATGGAATTCTCCAGGCAGTGGCGTAGTTGGTAAGAAAATCTTAAAGGGGCTATGGAAAAAATGATAAAGTTATTGTAGGGAATACTTATGAATGGTATTGAACTTCAACTTTTACATATCTTCATTATAACGGAGAATATATTTAGCGTAACAAAGTTATAAAAACAAAATTAGAAGTAAATTCCCACTTAGGAGGTTTCTTAAATTATATTGGAAAATTTATAAAAAAACATTTCTGCCCTAAAACCAAATATTCAAAATCCCAATTAAAATGTTTTGGTTTTAATCCATGTTCTTAATAAATAGTTACATATCATAAACTAGCATATTTAATTTCTAGCAATTAAAATACATTGTTGCCTGGAATAGCCATTAACCCCCCTCCATAGTAGCCACTGTGGCCAAGCCGACACTTTAAAACAGCGATGTGAAGGCTTTCTGGATGCCGTAGTACTGGACCCATTTCCAATAACTGTACCGGTTCGACTTCCAACACCACACCCCTCACCACTCCCATCCCCTTCTCGGTAGCGTGTGGCATTTAAAATGCAAAAATATCGCTTAAGCGTTATCTCTAATTTATTGAGATTAAGGCAAACTGATTAATTTAACGACGTAATTGATGCAGCCGCAAAAGCGCACGACTTTCGAGGAGAACTGACGCAACACAGATACATATGAACACACACCCATACATCGATACATGCGGTATACCTGCCTGCCCACAGCCCTCTTTTTTTCAGATCTTTTCAGTGATCTGTTCAGAGAATTCCTGATAGAAGTGCGACTTAGATTGACGGAAACTAAATCAGATACAGAGGAAGAAAATCTTTTTGACAGGTAAATGAAAAAAAAATATGTAAAATTCTATAATGGGGTGATCAAATCTTAATATTTAAGATCAGCAATATTTTAAGATTCAAATTAATATGTAAACTAAGATAGATCATCATAAATTATAACATTCTCCCAGTGATAGCGTGTTAATAGCAAAGGGGGCGTAATCGGTGGCGAAAAGAAAGGGGGCGGGGCGGGGCGGTGCCGCATATGTAAATCTGCCAATATGTTTGGCGAGCGTGAAAAAGAGAGGAATAGGGAGAGAGAGAGAGCGGGGCATATGTAAATTTGATGGAGCAGTACTTCCTGAAGCCAGATACCAGATACAAGATACACTATCTCAGAGATACGAGCATGGGATCCACACACGCTTGGCATCCACAGCCACAACACGTGGTCCCCCAAGTTCAGAAGAATGGAACGAAACGAAACGTAGCGAATCGCATAGACAAGGCATAGAGCACAATAAATAAGCAAAAAAAAAAGCACAAACGCCAAGGAAACAAATAAAGAGCGGGCCGCATAAATAAACCAGGGATGACCGCAAAAAGAGCAGGTACACTAAACGAAAATGTTAAAAGAGATCACTCTTTTGAGATTTAAAGGGAACGTATAAACTGTTTTAATCATTCTTGTGTTAAAAAATGATTGCAGATCCTTAAATTTTTTTAAAATATGAAACAATTACTATTTCATTTTTAAACTAATAAATCATTTAATGTGAGAATCATTTAGTCTTTTATTTGTTCATTAATTCATTTAACAGTGAAACTTGAAACTTTTTTGACATACAAGGGCAAGGCCTAATAGAAAAAGTTGTTTAAATTCTTTAAAAACC